TTTTTTTTTTTTTTTTTTATGTATCACTCGCGTGCGTGCCGCGCGCACGCACAAACCGATGCATACATACATACATTGTATATACATACATACATCGTACATACAATAGCAAGTGTTCACATCTCCGCGATCAAAAAGTGATCAACGTTGATATTATTATTATTATAATAATAATAATGTATTCAATCATTCGTCGTAATGCGAATATCAGTTTCTGGCTTTCTTTTTTTTCTCTTTTTTTTTTTTTAGTTTTTTTTTTTTTATTAAAAACATGAGTATTTTTTTTCGAACGCACGATCGCAGAGGGAAGGACAGAGGGGTTATAGCTAATTTGAATTTTAAATATAAACTATATATATATATATATATATATATATATATATGTATGTATTATGTATATATATAGGTTATACGATTATATGTACCAAGAGTAATTTCTACCTAAAAGTTACTTGTGCGTTTAGTAAATATACGTAATATTCTAAAAACGTGTGTTCGCACGCGCTCCCGAATCGAGCGGCGTCGGTTTTCCACGCGAAGATTTTTGTTTATCACGTCTCTCGCTATATAATGTGTATCATGTAGCAGGTTGTCCTATTTGAAATTTGTGTGCAGTTGAATTGTACGACGGAGAACGGGTGAAACACACTTGACGCGTTTTCTCGAAAAATTGCGTTTCAAAAAAGTTTGTTCGAATGTTCCAAACGATTTCGATAAAAAAAACTTCTCATCTCTCTCGGCGTATCGCGGAAATTTTGTGTCGCTGTTTTTTGTTTTTCGAAATCCAGATTTGGACAAAATGGTCGGTTTGCGAAATGTTTTTTTTTTTTTTTTTTTTTCAAAATCACCTACTAGTAGCTCTGTCTTCAAGCGTTTTATTTCAAATGGGATCACCTGCTGCGATTGTGTTCCAGAGTCCTGTATATGTATGTGTATGTGTGTGTGTGTGTGTTTCGCTCACTTTGCGCAAACAATTTTCGAAGGAATTACGAAAGCCAGCAAAGTCGTCGTGCGTTTTTTTGTATTTCGTCGTTTTCTGATGAAGTCACGTTCACGTGGTTCTCAACCTTTTCCTATATAGTTCTTCAAAAGAAAAAGAAAACAAATGTTCTTGTTATTTATTTAGCTTATGTACGTTAGACGCACCTCTATCTAGAAGATGGCAATTTAGGCTGCGTTTGGAGCAATTAAATATGTAAAAAAAAAAAAACCATTGATCGCTCTCTCCCTCTTCTTTTCGGATTATAGAAATAAAGAAAAAGTGCTTCTTCTTCTCTCTCACAAAGTATTTATAACGTATACTCTCTCGTAGATTTATACAATTGTTTTACAGCTGTATCAGAGAGTTACAACTGTTTTGTTTTGTTTTGTTTTGTTGTTTTTTTTTTTTTTTTACAAAATATTAACAATTACAAATTACACAGAATCGAGCTTGAAACTATTCAATCGAGACTTTCGCGAACACGCTCGTTCGCGGAAAACGAGCGGCCCAGCAAAAGTTTCCGGAATTGAATAGTTTGTCAAACAGATTTTAAAAGACAGTACAATTAATATAAGTCAAATACTTTTGTGAATGTACAAAAGACAATGTAACTTTTTACATTACAAAAAAATTAATAATTTAGTATTCTAAAATATACAAACTCACATTTTTTTTTTACTGTTTATAGAATAGTTCATAGAAATACTGAGGAACTAAAATATGCGAATTATCACTACTAGCTACGTTTGTATGTAAAATATTGACTGTATACGCTCAGTCCAAAAGTCTCCCGTACTGCGTTTACTTTCGATATAGGTTTTAAATTTTTTGTATACATGTACACACACATGACGTGTTAAAACATTCAAAAATATTGAAAGATAGGCCTTGCTGAAACCAACACAACGTCGATGGTTGGTTCAGCAAAAATAAGCAAATAAGAAATTAATAAATATTATAGTTAAGATATTATATATATCAGCGACTCTGTGAATACAAGTAAATTGAAATAATCAGTAATTCCACTGACTCAAAAGTATGTGTACGCATGCGCTGACACTTTACAGATGTCACGAGTCTAACACACTAAAAGTCAAATTTAAGTCAAAATTACACAAAATAGAAATTGATATTATGATAAAAAATTACATACGATTGAAATATTGGAAGTATGGAGACTTTTTAGACTGACTGTATATATGTATTCTCGAATAAAGTACAAGTAGCAAGCGACTTTCGAATAAAGTACAAGTAGCAACCGTCGCATTTCGAAAAGGGCGTGAAACTTCAACTGAGCAATAAAACCAAGTTTCATTTAAAAAACAGACATTTTTTAATAATAACGTACTATATATATATATATATATATATATATATATGTATATTATATATATTTCTAAGAACGTATAATTTTCAATTTAAAATGCTTTAAAAAATCGCGACTTCTCTAAGCTTGTTGGGCATTTTGATAGCACCTTTTATTGCGATAAAAAACGACAGTCATTGATAATACAGCCTGGAAATAAAGTTACACTGCGAGTTAAAACATAATTTACGAGTTGAAATAAATACAATCTACAAGCTGGAAAACAAAAAAAAAAAAAAAAAAAATTTATAAGAGACCTGTACACATATAATATCTGTAGTAAAAAATAATTAAAATTACGTGAAACTATCGCAATGATCAAATTATACTTCTAAAGAGATACAGAAAATCTATCAAAATATTCTATAAATTTTAAAACTGAATAATACCTAGCGCTTATTTAAAAAAAAAAAAAAAAAAGAAACATTTATACACCTCCCTCTTTTAACTTCGGTACTTATTATGGAACTGTTCGCAATCAATTCCGATATTTGTCAGTTTTCCGAAAATATTCGTGTGATGAGATAAAAACTATCATAATAAGTACCCTCTTTCCTCTCTTTTACTCTAAAAATGGATCTGTAACAGGGTTGTCCATAGAAGTATACTGTTTAATTGTCTTGCAATTTAATTGTCTCCTTCGATACGAAGAAAGGCTTCCATCAAATCATTTTTAAGACTCAGAGTAGCTACGGTATAAAAACGGTTTCAATTTCAAGTTCTTCAATTCTTCTATTAAAAAAAAAAAAAAAAAAAGATGAGATGAAAAACTTTTGAACAAAATCAATACTGAAAAATTATACAATATGGGAACATCCAAGAGAGGAATGAATAGAAGTGATTAACTGCTTAATTAGAGGAAAGGTTTCGTGTGAATGATTAGTGACGGGATCGGTAGCACGGCATGCGATCTTTTTGTTTGCGGACCTCACTAAAACAAAATTCCAGAACCAGCTTAGTGATAGGATATATGGTAGATGCTGCGCCACACTTGGACAACCCTGGCTCACGTGATAATACGATTGAGAACCACCGGACTCAAATAGTTTTATGCCGTATCACACTTCTCCCTGTACGAATGCGAATATTACGAAATAGATCGAAGTAAACTGTCTCTAACGATTAGGCTCCGTGACTTCGTTGAACAGTGGCGTCAACGAATCCACATCTTGCAGGCCGTCAAAATTACCAAGAGGATCCAGATCGTCACTCTCCGGATCAGCTTCTCCGAGAAAACCGTCTCCCAGAAGATCGGCAACGTTTCTGCAGAGACTGGAAGTAGCGGCGCTCGGGTCGATATCGCCGTCGACAGTTGCGCCTACGTTCGACGCGTCGCTTTGCAAACTGAGAGAATTGAGAATGGGACTGGACAATATCGACTCGCCTGGATCCTGATATACTTCCTGGGACTGGACCGTGTGCAGAGGCGTCGACGGATACGATCTGGAGCCGTTGCTGTCCTCGGTGTACGATGACGTGTACGCCGATACCGCGGCCGGAAGCGGTGTATTCGGATACGAACGCGACTGCATTATTTTCTGTAGCGTACCACTGGCGTCACCGAGAATGTTCGACGCGTCCAGTATATCTTCTTCCGACAGATTCAAATTGGCATTCGGCAGACCGTCGAGGACAATCGTGTTGTTCAACGTCTCTTCCGTGGATTGTTCGGGCAGCATTTGCAAGCTCGACTGACCCTCTTCGTCCAGCATGGTCAGGATGTTATTGATATTTTCGGATGTGATCCCCTTGTCCGTCATCAGAAATTGCTGATCGTCCGATATGAAATTTGGATCGTCTAACAAGTACGCGCTTTCTTGTCCAATGGAGGGACCGAAGTCGTTGTATTCGCTCGGTACCGGAGTAGGGGCTACGGAACTGCTCGTTGACGGATTGAAGCTCTGACTGTGCACCGCCGACAGGCAATGTTGCGTGGAAATCGGCGACGTCAAAGACGCGGGATTGACCATTCTGTGCAACGGCACCGACTGCGATCTGTAGAACAATTGTTCGTTGCTCACGTGTCTACCCGCGTGAAGAAGTTCCGTAATCTCTTGATCAGGCGCGGGCGTTTGATCTTTTTGATATACGTTCTTGATTTCTTGTAAATTTTCTTGACTCGGATAATTTATCAGCAATTGTTGCTTTTGAGGAGTCAAATCTAAAAACGCGGCACACGGTGGTCCCTTCAAAACAACCTGTATTGAAAAATAAATCAATCTTATACACATTGCCGATAACGAGAAAATAAAATTAAATTGTGTTTGTTACATATAATATATAAATGTAGCACAAATAAATTTCAAATCTCACCTCCGCAGACTTGGTCGTTGCTACTGTCAACACGTGTCGCGCGGTTTCTATTCCACTTGATGTCGGTACGATAAAAGTGTCCGTTGTTTTCATGGTATACGGCACGCTGCACGAAATCGAACGAGAAAGCGTCTTTTGGCCGCGAGATCTGGAACTGCCAGCTTGCAGGTTACTGCGCGATCTTGGCACTGGTGTGTTACGGGGCGACACGAACGGACTCGCGTTCGCCGAATTCGATTTGGACGCGCGGCCATTAATCGGAGAATGCGGTCCGGGCGAGATCGGGGTGAAATTGAATATTCTTCGCCGTGTGTTCGGGCTTTGCGGCACGGTGTTCGTTACGCTCGCCGTTGGTGCTTCTTGAGCGTGTTCGACGACATTTGTTTCGAAACTGACGCGACGACGCGTACTGCCCGTATTGGGATGATGAAGAAGCGTCGGGAGTATGAGATTATGTTTCTGCGCAGATTCCCGTTTCTCCACAGCGACGTTTTGCCGAGTGACCGGCGTTGGGGTTGACTCGGTGGCTACGACGGATGTCTTCAGATTCTGTTGCAGTATCAATCGTAGCTGCGACACCTTGTCCGATCGAGAGATCTGCTCGGTATCGGAACCGACGACATTGGTTTCCACGTCGGAGCTGGACGAGCTGTTCTGCTGGAAATACTGCAACAGTTCCTCTTCCTGCTCCTGTGAATTGTTCCCACCGTTCAAATAATCGTTCAAATCATCGGTGTCGATACTTCGAAGCTTTTCGTCCTTGAAGACCGGTGTATCCTGCAGGAGACGAATCTGGTCCCTCGTGAGGAGTCCTGAGGACGTTTCCGCCGTTGCGGAAGCGCTCCTCGACGAGTTGATATCACAGTTTTTAATAAGCTGACTGTCCGAAGTCTCGACCGTTTTGCACTTGGTAGATTTCGAATTACCAGTTAGTATCACCGATATCTTACCGGCGCATTGAATGGACGCCACCTTGGGTAGCAAAGCGTTGGAATGCTCCGGATTCTCTTCTGTAAGCTTCGTTTGTTTCTCGGGGCTAGGTTCCTGCTGCTGCTGCGTTATAATTGGATTATTGGCACGTTTCCTGGAATTTTTACCTCTGACATCGCGCTGCGCGTTTATCGTTACTCTAGAGTTGCTATTACTCTGTCCACCCTCGCACGATTGTACCACTAGATTATCACAGTTAGACTCCTGGGAGACATTGCAAGGCTGCTGCTGCTGCTGCTGCTGCTGTTGTTGCTGTTGTTGCTGTTGTTGATTACAAGTTCTCGATACTTTTTTTTGCCGATTGTTGACAACAGCGGACAAGTTGATTTTTGTCAGCGAGTTTTGCGCGGCCGCTTTTATCGCCGCTGTTGCGTTCGTCACTGTGTGAGATGATTGATTGGACTTGACTTTCTTACATCCCTTGCCGATCTTCTCTTTATGCTGATCTACAATCTTCTCCTTGTTCTGTGAAACAACAAAGTTATTTTTACACATATACATAGAAAAAAAAACAGCGCGAGAAATGCCAATATCTTGTTTGATGTATCGCGCACCTGCGTAACTGTGTCGAGATGACGATGCTTCTGATCTTTTATGTGCTCACGTTGCTGAAGCTTGCGCTGCAACTGTAACTGCGCTTCACGGAGCTTAGCAGACTTACCGCTCGCAGGCGTTGTTGGCTGATCCGAGGCCGGTTCTAGACAATTCAACATACTCGAGAATTAAAAAACCAATCATCTCGAAATGTTAGATATAAATTTTTCACAAAGTTTGACAATACGCTCACCTTTACTGGACGAAGTGTTAAGCTCATCCGACGCGGATAGAATGCACACAGCAGCCAGAGATCGAGTGTCGACACGAAAATTATTAACAAGATGCCGCGCTAAGGCACTCAAATTTAGAAATTTCGAACCCAATATGCTCTCTGCCCATTCTCTTATCAAAGTAGATGCAGCACCCAACATTTCCTCAGTGATGTTTTCCTCCGGATGCTCCTCCTGAATTTATAAACATCTCGCTGTGAACTTCTCATTTGTTTACGTAAAAGTTTAAAAGAGTTTTGAAAAATACAAACTAAAATTAAGTTAAGCATTTTTGTTACTCACAGTTTGAGGGCCAGATATCTTTGGCAGTGTCGGAGAATCCAATTTAATTCGCTTGCGCATACCCGCATAGCAGTATCGAGAATTGCCCCGTGTACCCAACCGGCGAGGGCGAACTCGTGGATATACCTGTTTCATCACTTTTCCAAAATCCGCTGTTGACAATGGCTTCATCGAATTTCTTATGCAATACATGCTGAAAATTTAAGAAATTTAAATTATATTAAGTTCGAAGTGCCGCGGCAAAAGGGAAGCGAAGTTTCACTGAACAAAACTCAATCCCAATACGTTGGGACAATAAATTTATTGTTGCACAAAAATTAAAAAAACTTCAAGTGTATTACTCCAAATGCATTAAATTTTTTTGGCGCATAAATACTCACTTATATTCATCATAAACCTCTTGCTTCGGTAAAGACACATCAGGATCTTCCTCTAAATGTGTCTTAATCCACATAATAGTCTGATGAATTTCGTACCGATTTCCCAACGGATTCAATGGCTGTCTCAGCGGATCGAAGGTCCCATTTGGATTCGTCAGCAATAATGGAAATTTCAGGTACAACAATAACTTTTCCTCTATCTTCAGTTGTTCTATCCGTGAAAAAATCTCGTTCACACGAACTCTGGACTCCTCGCTACAATACGAAAAAAAACAAAAAAAGAACTTATATTCCGTTTTAAGACATATATATACCCGAAGCAAGAGTATGATCAATAAAATCATTTTTCTCAAAACTTACAAACATTAATTTATTAAATATACATATTTTCAATATATAAAATAGATAGAAAAATCTGAAGTGAAAACTGGTGAGTATTTAAATTTTTAAACAAAACTACACAAGCGTTATTCCAACAACGGTAATTGCACAAGAGCGGTATCTAAGATCGTACGATATTAATTGTTAATTAATAAAACGATTATTGTGTCAATACTCTTCCCTCCTCCCTCCTTAGGAAGAAATGAAAAATTTACTTAACCTAATACTATCTTCTATCATAATCCGAATCTTTTCCTGCTTGGAAGAAGCGCCGTGATTAGCCAGGGTCGCGAATTTAGTTGCGAAAAAGTCTTGCAGCGGATCACCATCCCCGTGGAAACCGTTCGACGTGAATCTGCCGGCCGGTGGATGTCGTCTTTCGACGACGTTAGTAGCAGCAGCAGCGGAGGTGGTGGCGGAGGCTGCGGAGGAGGTGGAGGTGGAGGCGGCGGCGGTGGCAGCGGCGGCGGCGGCGGCGGCGGCGACGTCGCCATTTTCCATACAAATGTCACCGCGCTCTTTTTTAATTCGTTTCCCGTCGAACGCGCTCTCTTCCTCGCTCCTCGCGGGTGTTTTGCAAGGTTTCGTCTGATCATGACTGTCAGTACTCATCGTAGCCTAAACCTCCCCGTCCTGCCCGTGCCGCCTCCCGGTACCGTAGGCTCACGTACGCGGAAACGCATCAACTCCCGGTGCATGGCCAGGACGAGCTACCATTTTGTCCGCAAAGATGTCAAGATTACGTCGAGATTACGCGTTTGCATGCCGGCTTGCCATTTCCCGACTGGATATTCGGATCGCGAGATGACTGCTTCTGTTAAACGACTCGCCGGAACGCGTACGATGCGCGGCGAAACGCGAATCCGTCATAACGGCACCGCGCGTGGCAGCCGCGTCAATACGAGCGCTCGTGTCGATGAGCGCCCGGGCTCAGTCAGATGTTAATCAGATGACAATTCGGAATTGATTATGACCGGCTTAGGCGACGTTAACCCACGGTCCGCACACTCCGAGCTGTGTCGCGCTTCGTTGTCAGTTTGCGCGTTTCTACTCCATTATACCATAGAATACGCGCCTCACCTTAGCGAACGCGGAAACATCCGCTGCTGCTACCTCTCGTCCCGTCGAGGGACAATCCGATTTATCCGCCAATCAGCTGCTCCGATGAAGAGAAACAGAGACACTTGAATCGGCGCGCGGCAGAGAAACACACACGGACAAATGAAACAACAAACACGCGCAAACTTAGGGTCTAATTTAGGTCTCGTTCGCAATGATTGTTCGAATCAATTCGAACAAATCGCGGGTGGACGATCGGAGATTTGTATCCGGGAATCGGTTTATTTTCGATCTTACAGATCGATCTTACACCGTACTTTTCTGTTTTTCTCGGAAACACACGTGTGCGACCGCACCCTTGGGAATTCACCCAATCACGGCAAAGTTCACCCGAAGGTGATCCGATCTGCCGCGTCGCGATTGGTTGAATTTGAACACACAAATTCTTGAATCCCGTACTCTGATACGAGCATTGGTGCGCGTAAATATTCTTTGCGCCAGTGCAAAAAGATTTTGATAAAGAAGAACACAACTCCCGTCGCGGATACGCTCCGGGCGCTCCGGTGGTTGGTCTAGTTGTCTGTTCTATCCGTCCGCCGGTCGACCATTAATGACCGTTAATTGCTGGAAGTTTTTAATCGTATAGAAATTGAAGAAATTTTTGCGAAGCGAAGGAAATTGTGCGAAAATCGGCGATGCGGTGATTTTCGGTGGACGGGCGATGGCTGGACGGATGTCCGGCGAGGAATGCGAGACAGGTCCGAGAAATGCCGATAATTTGCCGCGTCAGGTCACGTCAACGTCAACGTCCGTATCGACGAGTAACGACGTGGCCAAGGAAAGACCACCTATAGAGGAGCGACTGGCGGCAAAAATGTTGTCCTACGAAAGTGTCTGCTTTATTCTGGCACTCAGTTTTACCGCCTTGGCTGCTCTACACAGCTCGTAAGATTTGCTTTTTGTCATCAAATTAACATAAACACACGTAGAAACTTATATATATATATATATGTGTGTGTATTGTATTTACTAACGCGGTCTCACTTGAAATTTTCAAACAGACCTCCAAAAATTTCCAAGCCTCCAGCGGCGAGACCATTCTTCGATCAGGGTTCCCTAGTGCTGGACTTCTACAAGGGTCATTTGAACGCGATGATCGATAGGATAACGCAGGCTGATTTCAGCTTCGTCATGTATTACGCGCCCTGGGACGCCGAGAGCCAAACCCTTCGCCAAGAATTCGAGAACGTAGCTCGATTTTATCATTCTCAAGTACGAATGCGTAATTTAGAGATTTCACAGATGTTTCATTTTTGTGCAAACGCGAACTCGCTCACGCTGTGTGTGTGTGTGTGTGTGCTGTTCCTCAGGTATTCTTCGCAGCTATCAATTGTTGGCATCCCGATTCGGAGTGCAGAGCCGTGTACAATAAAATTCACAGTTATCCGATATTAATGCTGTATCCATCCAGAGACTCCGGTATCGACTACAGAGGAATTCGCACGGCGCCGTACATGATACGTTTTCTCGACTCGCTTATAAATCCCATTGTCAGAATAACATACAAGGAAGAATTGAGGGAATTGTTGATCGCTCACGATGTAAGTGCAAATCCTGGAAATGTAAATTTTTTTCACAAACAAAAACAAAAAAACGAACCAACAAATTAGCACTAAAAAAATAAAGTAACCAACTGTTGCGATCACAAGTTTTGTTCTTAATCAAGGAGAAGACTTTTGTCGATAACTTACAGGCAGTGGTTGTAGGATATTTCAATTTTACACGATTAAATAGAACACCCGGATACAGGGAGTTCTACAGAACCGCGATTAGATCGCTTGAAAAAGATCCGAACAGAGAACTGGCATTCGCCATAGTGACCAGCGCGTCGTCCAGCGAATTGCATCACGGAGTTTACAGATTTCCATCGGCGAGATTGCTCATGTGGAATGAATCTTTGGTAAGTGCGCGAAAATCTCTTTTTTTTTTGTTTTTTGTTTTTTTTGTTTTATGCGAATAAGATAAGATGTGTGAACAAAAACAAACAAAAACATTCAGACTTATCCGGAAGACAAGGAGTGGACTTCCGAAAATATTCTGAATTGGATCAGCGGTTCTATTCATCAGCCGTCCATGTGGCTACAGCCTCCTGGCGTCAAAGCGTTTACGCTCGCGCCGTATCTGCGCGACGGGCCGGTGTTGTTTCTCTTCACGCCACGAAATCCTTTTCACACGGAGAACTATATTTACAATCTGGTGCGTGTCCGAAATGTAAATGTCGTATCTTGTCTCGGATAATTTTATAAATTTTTTACCGATAAAAAATTTTAAGACTCTCGAAACGAACTTTCATCACGAATTCTATTGACAAATGGTTCTGTTCTCCAGATTAGAGAAATTGGCTTACAATATTATAACTGTGTGGATAATATGTTAGGGAAGGACATACTAACGGGTCTAGAAGCGAATCGACGTACAGCCACGATTCGTCACTTGTTTAAGAATCAGGAATGCGCGAATCTACTGAAAGAGACCAGAGCCAACACTGGGCAAGTGAAGGAAATGGTCGCCAGTATAGCGATTCAGCAATGGATCAACGACAGTTGTTGCGCGAATGTGGCAATGAACAAATGTTCCTTGTGCAACGTAAAGACAATGAACAGATTTGAAAAGGAGATTTGCTTGGCTGGTGACAAAGAGTTCGCCGGTGTTTGCAGAGACACCGATGTGTTTACAAGTTCCGTCAGGAGTAAACAGCACGAAAGACGAATGTCCAATTATTATTATAATAAAAATTATATAACGATAAGAGTACAAAAGGAATCGGAATTGAAGAGGTAAATTTTAGTCACATACGTGTGTTATGGTTTAACCAAACACGTTTTGAAGCGGTTCAGCGTAATAATTCCCCGTTGATCTCTCAGGTTGCATACCGGTACCGAGTACAAAATGTTGTTGTGGAAAAAAGAAGACACGAGATCCGCGAGCACGGTGAGGAGAAACTTTTTGAAGGAACGTTGCAGAAAATGGTTAGCCGGAAATGACTACCATCAGCCGTTGTTCCCGCGGGACTCGCCGGCCCGGTTCAATAACAGTCTGAAAGACTCCGTTTGCAAGACCAACAAAACGCTGGCTCTGATAGCTATCGACAGTTTGCATTACTTTCACTTCGCTCAACATCTCGGGATTGACACAACAAAGTGGAAGAACAAAACCGCTGTTGTAATTTTGGACTCGGCGGTAAGTTTCGTGAGACATGTGTGTCTTCATCAGTTACTTTTATTATTTATTTTTTTATTTTTTTTTTTTAATTTCTCCGCTCTTTCGCAGCTGGAGAGTCAATATGTCATGCATCACGATTTCAGCGAGGACGCTCTCGTTAATTTCGTGAACCAATACACGCAAGGTCTGCTGGAACGAACATTGCGTTCGGAAAATTTGCAACAGAACAAAACGCAAAAATCGTCCAATCGGAGCAATAACGTGACTTCGCGTTCGCAGATTCGTGTTAGGGAGCTAACGACCGAGACATTTTTGGATACGATCTTAGATCCGTCCAAGGTCAATATTGTGTATTTTAATTAGTAGTAGAAAACCGATATATATATACATATATATATATATTATATATATGCGATAACATTAGTTTTGTTTCTACAGGACGTTGTAGTGATGTATCATTCCCCTTACTGCGGATTTTGCAGTGCTATATCGTACGTGTATTTAACAGTGGCGCATTACTTGTCCAATATGGATCATCTAATTTTCGTGAGAGTGAACGGAGACAACAACGATTTGCCATGGGAGTACACCATGAATCGCTTTCCGTCGATTTTATTCTTTCCTGCGAAGAGGTGCGCATGTGTTCGGTCACGAATGGGTTTTTTTTTTTTTTTTGTTTTTTTTAAACATCAGTTTTGTCAATATCTTTTCAATCAAACTGTGTGTATACGCGTAATATCATTACTTTTGTAATTTTTCAGAAAGGAGGACAGCACCGTATTCCCGTTTTCCGTTCCCATAACTATTCCGAACTTGCTCAACTTCGTGTTGGCGAATTTGGACGGCGATTCTCACGTCGAAGCTCTGACCAATGTCTGCCAGTCGGGAACTGGCGAGGCGCCGGACAAATGTATCGCTAGAATTCGATGGCTGTGCCTAGATATAATCGAGCAACTTTTGCGGGATTACAGAAAACTACGACGGCATTTAAATCACTTGGACAAGGACATTGCGCGAAACAGACGGAAAATTATTTTCTTTAAACTGGAGCACATCAGGGATATTCACTTCATTCTGAGTTCTACCGTTGATCTCGGCAAAGATCGTAAGAAGGCGCAACTAATTAGAAAAAAATTTCGTAACTATTACGAGGTTCTTAGGTTGTTGGAAACGGGCGCCAGAACGACGAAAGAACGTCGTTACGAGAGCGCTGTGCCAATTACTAAATGAAGAGATTCGCTCTCTGAAGAAGCGAATTGTGATATAGAATTCCGCCTTACAAATGTTGATATACGTCTACGAATAGTAACACATATTTTGAGATATCTCACAATGTTTTTTTTTTTTTTTTTTTTTGTGCGTTTTTTTATTAGTATAAATCTCAATGCCAAATTGAATAAAAGAAGAAGTAAATTGTTCGCACTCTTGGCTTGCTCCTTTGATGATTGAACAAAAAGCAAAACAGAGTAAGTTGATCATTTAAACTTAATGATATTGTTGTGCTAGTCTATATTCAATAAAATGTTTAAATAAAACGTTGTGTACAAATCTACTCTACGAAAGATTGTTTTTTTTTTTTAGTAAAGTGGCTATTTCCAGTTCTCTCTTTCTCTCTCCCAACTTTACACGCGTCATTACGATATGGTTTTTGTAAATAAAAAAAAAAACAAATACGCGTGTCTCGAACTTTCTTTTGTGACAATGTTTCTTTGTTACTTTACCACTTTGCCGACAGAGGCGCTGTTAATCTTCGTTACAGACACGAAAATACAGACCGGCAATTCGCGGGATACGTGCGTGATCGAAGCAAATCCGAAGTTGTCGCTGATTGCGACTTTCGAAAAATCTCGCTCGCACGACAGACCAATCGGAAACACGGAAGTCCCTGAGCTTTGTCTCCCGATTGGTCGGTCGAGACGCAACAACATCCGACGGGCGGAGTTTTGGAACGCGGCCCAGCGGCGGTTCGTACTTCCGTAGCCGAGGGTTCGAATTGGTTCCCATTGGTCGAGAACGTGCCAGACCGATGCGCGCGCACGGAGAAGAGCGCGGCGCACAGCGCTGTCGTACTGCTACAGGCACGCTCAATAAACGGCGCTAGTGTCTATTAAGTGTCACAGCCGTTCTCATCGGCTCGCAGTGTTGCAAGACTCGAATTCGGTGATTTAATTAGGAATAACGCGTACTTCTTTTTTTTTTTAGTAAAATTGTGAAACTGTAAGCAATAATGACCGACAAGAAAGGTAACTATACGCCGTAATTGCGCGTTACCATTTTAGTTGCGTGAAACGTACACTGACAAAGGAGCGAGAGAGCGAGCGAGCGAACGAGCGAGTGAGTGAGTGAGAAAGAAAGAAAGAGAGAGAGAGAGAAATTACAGCATACAGACGCGCGTGCACACATACATGTATACGCGAGAAACAGTCGCATACCCAACACACACACACATACACACACATATACATATCACACGTATCATTAATATGTACACACTCGCGCGCATATACACATATACGCGCGCACACGCACTCGTTAAAATAAGCCGTGTCTCACCACTTGTCACTCGACGTGACGCCCGGTCGTTGCCCAAGGCGACGTCGATGTCTACGTCGACGCGACTCCTCGGTGCGCGACGTTTGCGACGCGCGGCGTCGTGTCGCTCGGTTTTTCTCCCATTTTTCGCACGTCGGGGACCCCGGGCGCCGGCACAGACCGTTCTCGAGTGCCCGGCCTAAAGGTTGACAGGACAAATCAATACCGCGCGCATCGCGCGCTGGGAACACAAAATGGCCTCCGGAGAGTTGCTCGCTCCTCTGTGTTTCTCTCGCCCATGGAGGAAGAGAGAATCTCATCTCGTTTACCTATACGTTACTATTTCACGTACTTCCGAGCAATGTCCGTTTTTCCGCTCGTTGCCGAGAGAATCCGAGAGAAATTTCTTCCCCCGGGGAAATTTCGTTATCCCATATCCGGGGATGATCTTCTTCCTCCGCGCCGCGATTTTCGACACTCTGCGTATTTTTTTCCGAACCGCTTTCGCGGAAATTCTCGCCGTCTCGCCGCGCGTTCGAGAAAACGCGAATGTGAATTTTTTCGCTCGCATCTCGTCGCATCGGACGTCTTCTTCAAATCAAGCGCGGATATTTTCACGGATCGTCTTGATCTTTGTATACACGCAAAAGATTATTTGGCCGCGCCACGCTCGCGGATTCAGTGTCGCGCGGAGACACTCCAACAAGCTTTTCTTGGAATTCGAGATTTTTGCGAATCGATTTTCTCTTTGGAACATATCCGAGGAGCGAATTATTGAATATCGATAGTATTTGTTGTCTCTTAGGTTTCTTCTCTTTCTTAGATTTTTTTTTTTTTTTTTTTTTTGTACAATTCCTGAATTATCTCACAAGCGTGGTTCTTTTGTAATTCGATCAAAAAAAAAATTATATTTCTTCTGTTGTTTTGTTTTTGGTTCACGGAATGGAACGTGAAATATCCGCGTTGCAACGCCCCACGAATGTCAAATCTAAACTGAAATTGGTATCCGCAATGCGTCGCGTTTCGTATTGCTTCTCTTAGATAAAATGTCCGTGTGTGTGTCAAGGATCAAGATACGAGATTCTAACTCGCGAATTCGAGAGATTCGGGTGATGAATTTGCGCGGTTTTCTCGCAAAAGAGACAATTTTCCCGCGTGCGACGTTTGACACATCGTCGGCGAGGCTCCGGAGGTCATTTCTCCAAGTATTGCTCAGTCGTGTTTTTTTGCAGATGCAGGAAGGCTGGGTTTTACAAAAAAAAAAAAAAAAANAAAAAAAAAAAAAAAAAAAAAAAAAAAAAAAAAAAAAAAAAAAAAAAAAAAAAAACTGACATATGATGCGCGAAGTATCGTGTTTTTAAGAGACACGCGCGCATAGATCTTAAGAATCGAAGACCTCACGAGATTCCATACGTAGCTTTTCATCGTCGTCCGATAAAAACACACACTGCGAAATCGAAGCTGCGCTTCTCGAGAGAGACAGAAAGAGAGAGAAAGGGGGGATGAGAGAGAGAGAGTGAGCGAGTGAATGAATGAATGAACGAACGAACGAACGAACGAACGAATGAGTCTTCACCCAGGGTGTCCTCTCGGTCACAGCCCGGGCCGTTCTCGAGGTGTCTCGGATACATTTGTACGGTTTTATTCCCGATTTCCCTCAGCGCACACACACACACACGTACATACACACACACATACATACGACGACGCGGAGCAAAGAGGATCCGAGACATCCGTGGAACAGCAGCCGCGCTTGAACACACACACACACGAGAGTTTCGATCCTCCTCACGGAAAAAATTTGCCGTAAGAGCAAAAAGTTTGAACAATTTGACCTTGACGGTGCGACATTTTCATTATCAAATCTGGTCTGTCCTCCCGAAGCAGGTGCCTCTGCCATATACATATATAAAGAGAGAGAGAAAGGGGCAAGAGTGTTGTAAGGATTGTACGTTAAAGAGCTTAGCCTGTAAGTGGGAGAGTCTACGTGCTTATATTTATCATTAATATTGTTAGTGATTTATTACTGAGTGAAGAGTACATATATATATTATACATATATATACCGTAATATATATATACAGTAATGATAACTGCTGCGAGCCTGCTACCGTTTATATACCTATGGGTGCCGTGTAGCAGCTGAGAGCGGAGGGATAGCGCCTACAATTTGGCTGTCAATATGTTTGCAGCGGACCATTACAAAGACGATTTGATCCCAGTCAGTAGGTGGAGCTCCGGAGACCGGCGCAGCCTAAGCCACGTATCTAACCTCACCTTTACTCTATATATTACCTTAACTCACTACGTGTTTATATACCAACATATATTACGTATACACACACACACACACACATACACACATATATATATTATATATTATATATATATATATTAATATGTAAAAAAAAAAAAAAAAAACCGTCCGTAGTACGCCGAGGCTGTGACGCGAGAGGAACCGATTGCTTATCTGCTCACGCGGTGAGATCCAACAGATCCGGGAGCCCTGAAACTAAGAAAACAAGTCTGTTTGGAAATAACGACTCTTTTGGTTTTGGAGTTTTTTTTCAATAACGTCGTCGCGCTTCTATTTTTCTCGCAAATCGGAAGACCGCAAAAAAGTTTCGCTTGTAAAAAGAGACACCTAATCATCGTGGAGGAGTTGGGCTGAGAGGATCTTCTGGATCTTCTCGTCGCGCAAAAGTCAATCAAAGGATCGATTTAGATTTGCGTCGAGTATATACGAGCAAGATGTCCCGAAATCTGTGTCGGTTGAAGTGACGAGTCTTCTCCAAGTTCGAGATTGCAATTTTTTTGCAACACGAGATCTCTCGGGATCAACCCAGGAATTGTGAACGGGGCTCAAGAAAGAAAATCTACTCGCAGAGAAAACACAGTTTGACAAAACATTCCGGAGAAAGGCAATCGCTGACCTTCCCGTCTGCAGCCTCAGCGTGCATAAAAATATTGAATGCAAAAGGCGCGTCCCGATTCAAAACAAAGGAACGTGTCACGTTCGAATCGAGAATTACGTGACTTCTGAATCTGTGTGTGTGTGTGTGTTTGTGAGTGTCACACATACACACGCGCGCACACGCACACACTCTCCGAAGTCTTGCGCGGGTTTCGCAAAACTTGGAAGAGAACAAAAAAAAAAAAAAAAACAAATCTTTCGGGTTTTTGATGTTTGAGCGCGCCGCACACGTGCGCCGTCGAGAGTTGTTCGTCTCTTCGAACAGTTCACCGTTCGCTTTTTCGCGGCCGTGGAGAAATGTCACATGACACGTTAGCGCCTAATTTAGCGCTAAATTTTTTTGATAGGAATCGGAGACGCGAATCGCTATATATCCAAATCAATATGGCTGTGTGCAATGTATTGATATGGGTGTATAACTAATATTTATACTGGAAACTTCGTGATATTGGCTGGCTGCTTTTATTCACTGTTTCTGTTTCTTTTCTCTTTTCTTTGTTATAATTCTATACGCTCGGACATGTCCGCGCGCGCGTGCGCGTGCAAGAGTTTTTTGTGTCCTCCCCTTACGCAATCGCGATTTCTCTCCTCCGAGAGAGAAATATACAGCGCGTACACATGTGCAACTTATACACACACACACATAGAGAAACACACATCTCTATAAATACACAATTGGTACAATTTAATAACAATTGAGAAACTAACAATAAATTGCAGTTTTATTATCGGAATTGAATAGTTTTTGTATTTTCACGAGGACTTTTTTTGTCCGCATTGGAGTTAAATCGAGAAAAATTTAAAAAAAAAAATACAAACAAACAAATACACAAATTGATACAAACTGTTGATACACATTTACGAGCAATCGAGTGAAATTAGTTTTATTCCAGTTCTCTTCTCGCCACAATAATTTGTTTCCCCCGTGTTTCGCACAAGATCAAAGTCTCAATGCAAATTACGTGCGCGCGCGCGCGCGCTCGCCGACACGGCGGGCCTTTTTGCGGGTGGACACGTGCTGTATATCTAAGCGTACCTTTCTATAACGATATTTTTATCTCATTTATATAGAAAATTTGCTAGCTCACTTTTAACAAATATAGTTGCATGTCGCTTCTCTTTTTTCACCGTGGCCAAAAGTTTCCTCGCGGGATTACAAATTCAGCGCGCGACTGCGACGCGCCCCGAAAAAGACGCCAAAAGGTAGATTAAAAAAAAAAAGAACAAAAGCAATGAAAAAAAAAAAAAAAAAAAAAGTCAACGGAATTTTAGAGAAAATTCGGCAAAATGTGTTCTAAAAAAACGGTAGCAAAATCTTTGCCGTCGCGAGGAAATTGTGGCTCACGGCTGCACGTCGTAGACGATGTGATACATAGTCGGAACATACATATAGATATCTCAAATTTCCTTCTTCGATAATCGTAGCGTGGACTCTTTAGATCTATTTTTTCGGTAGTTTCTCGAGAGTAGTGTTTTGTAGCTGATGAGAAAAAGCGATGTGTGTGAGTATTGCGTTCGGCGGACATCCGGGTCGCGCTTCTTTGAACAAAATGTTGCACGCGCGACGTTATGCTTGCGCGCAATCGGATCTTATCGATTAAATTTCTTAAGCTAACAGACTTGTAGTAGGTGAAGGGGACCTCGTGTGCGCGCGCGCGCACGCGCTTAAACACGCGTCGCGCCGATCGCTCACGAGGATGGCTTCGATTTTCCGCCGAACGCGCACAAAAGCTACCGAAATCGCAAAAAAAAAAAACAAAAAAAAAAAACAAAAAACGTAATCTCACGTTCACACCGTTCACGCCGCAAGGTTCTTGCGGCTCGTTTAAATTACGATTTACTTCAGGACAGAAAGAAAAAGGAAGAGAGAGAGAGAGAGAGAAAAAGAGAGAGAAAAGTGAGAGATATAAGGCGGCTGCGCGGTGGAGAAAAATCAAAAGTGTGAAATTGCGTTCACCCTTAGCATCCCAGTAGACCTCCGTGCAAGTACGAACTATACGAATCTTTCCACGTGTTGTTATTTCGGCTCGCATGTTCGAAAAACAAAATGGTTTTTTTTCTCTGATCCTTCAGAGGCAGTGAGGGACGCACGCGATCGCCGAATCGCGAGTATGTAAACAAACAAACAAAAAAAACAAACAAACAAAAAAATGAGACGTACGTATGTACATACAGCTGATCGTGTGTTCTCTCTCTCACTGTCCCACTGTTGTTTCTATAATCGTGCATGTTCTTTTTTCTTTCGATATGTCATCTCAACCGGTTCTCACGATTTCGCTTCGGTAAAGTCGTTGTTTCTGCATTTTCTTCGGGATGTGTGTACGATATACACATGTATACATATATATATATATGTGTGTGTGTGTGTATGTATATATATATATATACACAAACGCACACGCACACACGTTCGAATCTGAAGATCGCGAAGAAGGCGGAATCGCGCGAGCTGGTATTATTTCGTCATTTTAAATTGCAGTGGTTTTTTGTGTGATCACCGTAGAGAGTTTCATGTTATATATTCAATGTCGCATATCAACGGAAGACCCGGCACTGTATTTTTGTTGTTTTTTTTTTTTTTATTATTTTTATTTTTATGTTTTATCGCGCTGCAATGCACACTGCGTGCGTTGTGCAATTTGCGTCTCCGCAATGTTATTGTACACGTCACATTGATTGGTTCGTTTCTTAAGTCGACTTGACAATCGCGCGCGCGCGCGAGCGTCTTCCGTTGATCGCGACCGCATGCGCATGATTGACAGAATTTGTAATCGTAACACACTGTTAATAGTGAGCTTAAGCGAAGTAGCGTTTGTTGATTACGCTGGTCGATAATGGACGGAGAGTGGTCTCTGTGACGATTCGGAAATTATTCCGGGAGCGAGTAAACAAGATCGGAACTTCGCGAACTGTACACGAACGGAAACGACGTTTTTTTTTTTTTTTTTTCTTCCAAGAAAATCTTTTTTCGCCGTCCGCGGGATTTTCTTCAACGTCAAACTTTTTCGACCGCGATTTTAAAAAGAATGAAATTTCTTCAAACGCTCCCGGGTGAATTCTGTTCGCGCTGAGAACACGTCCGGTTGTCCACGGAAGCATTTCGATGAATCGCTATCCGGCAGAATGACAAGACCGACCTCTTCGACGGCCGTCTTTTTGACACGGGTCGTCGAAAGAAAGTGTCCGAGATAGCGAGGAAAAAAAAAAGAGAGTATAGAAAAAAAAAATAAAAAATAGCGTCGAACTGCTCGTTAAGGGACAAAAAACCGTGGAGAGATGAGAGAAAGTGAGAGAAAGAGGGAGAATGAGTGAGAGAGAGAGTGTGTGCGTGTGTGTGCGCGCGTGCGAGTGTGTGAGAGAGAGAGAGGAACGAGTAATGGAACAGATTTTTCGAGTTTTACCATTTAAGCCGTATTAGCCTTAATATTACAATCAGTTGTGATTGATTCGATAATTGTTTGCACCGTGGCACATATAGACACATAACTTTTATTATTTGTCGGAGGTTGCTCGAACGCGCGCAGGTGGACGCACTCGACCAGCATCCGGAGAGCGAGCGAACGGTAATAATGCGAACGATATGTTCCTAGCGAGCGAGTGTCGGTCGATTCGTAATTGCGTACGTAAAAAGATGTGAGATTTGTTGAAAAAAAAAAGCACACATTCTTTTCTTAAACAAAATTTAGAGAATTTTTTTTCACGCGCGGTGCTTGGACAACACTTTTCTGAACACCTGTGAATTTCTCATACTTTCTTCTGGATTCGTTCGTTTTTTTTTTTTTTTTTTCTTTCGGATATGTTGCGTGTGCGATGATATTTTGCGTCTCTGAAAAAATTCACTCTCTTTTTGAGTATATATATCTTTGTTTTAGTTTTTCTGGAAGATTTTGCTGATTGCGGTGTATCTTTTTTTATATTTTTCGTTAAGTAATTTGTGTACTTTGTCGTTCTCTCTCGAAAGAGAGCGTTGTTCTTGTAGTTATGCATTATCCGATTATTGTGAACGCTCGTTGTGATGATTGATCCGGGGTTGCGCTCGCTCGTGCGAAAGCTGTGTGAATAAGTTCGTCTCCACTTGTTCGACCAACCTTCGGTCACATCATGGACAATTTGGTGTGGGCTGACGTTTATGTTAGAGTACAACATGTCCGTCCAGCACCGGCGCCGCTGCACTGTGTGCAACAACACACGTCTGGAGGACGATGACGAGAAATATCCTCCTCTGTCTCGCGAAATTTTCAAGAGTTCGATTCATTGTTTTTTTTTTTTTTTTTTTCGAACGTCGACTTTGGAAACGAAACGGCTTTCTTCCTTCAATCGACTTAAATGAATATTGCGGTATTTTTGGAAACGCAAAAAACGTTGTTCGTATCTTTGAGGAAAAAACGAGACGAAAGAAGAAAGGAAAACGTGAGTTTTGATTTCTATCTGATGTTCTTTGGAGAGAAAAATTCAATTTGTAAACTCGCGTCTCGAACTAAACTTTTGTTCTTTTTGTTTTATTGCGTGCGTATAACGCGCGAAGCAAATATCTTGCGAAACGTCGGTAGAGCGTTTCTCTACTCTTCGCGTTTGTGACACGAGACCATAGAGAGGAGGAGGAGGGACAATTGGCCTCCGTGTTGCGGCGGCGCGTGGTGCGCGGAGCGATTTTAGATAACTAAAAGCGCTAGAGAAAGAAAAAAAACACACAGAGAGGTGGCCGAGCGTCTCGCGACGTCGCGACGCGGCCGGTCATGGAAAAAAAAAAAAAAGATTACTTATTATACACGATTCTGAGGAACTTTTAATCATGTTTAACCTTTATTTCTGGATATTTGCAGAAATTTGTGGTTTGCTGAGTCTTGTCACGACTTTTTGAATGTGTGGAGCCCGATATGTATATATAGCCCGTATCTCGCTATATATGCATATATATTTATATATATAAATATTATATATATATCTATATATATATATACATAATCATCGTACCACTATACTCATTGTATAAATTACACATTCACCGCCCCGAGAAAGAAAAAAAAAAAAAAAAGAGAAAGATGTAGAGACTCTTCTCGGTTTTGTTCTTTTTTTTATTTGTGAAATGAAAAAAGAAAAAAAACGAAGCGTCTCGTCATTTTATTGGCGACGACGATGATAATGATAATATTTTTAATGATAAATGATCGATTGACGATGTTTGATAATTTATTGCCGATACATTTTTGATGTTGAGACAGATTGTGTCGTTCTCGCATCACCGAGTCCTTCCGATTACTTGGGCTTGTTTTTAACATCACTCTTTGGAGCAACCGTTATCCTTCTTACCTCCTGGCTTTATTTTAGCTCTGTTTTGTCGTTTTTCTGTTTCTCGAAAGCCGAGCCTCGGGATTCGCTGCTCTCTCTTCATTTTTGTGCTCTTTAACCCGTCGGGAAACGTCCACTTTCTTTCGGACAGCAGCGCTTCAAAAAAAAAAAAAAAAAAAAAAAAAAAAATGTAAACGTGTAAAAACTTGTGTAAAAACGTCAAAATGAAAATTAATTGAAAAGTATATTGAATTACATAGCGGGTTAAGCAGCAATTGAATCGGAAATAAAATAAACGAATATTGTTAACGTTTCGAACAACCGCAGGACGTGAACAAGCGAGATTGTGACGCGTTTAAAACTGATAAAAAATAATTCGAGTTGGCGAGTTTCAAATATTTCTGAAACAATTGCAAAGTTTTTTTTAAACGTTTAACTGTTCAAGTAACGAGTGGTTCAGATGAAGAAAAAGTTAAATAGTTGAAGTGTCCACAAAAATATTATTACTTACACACACAATTATTGTGTGAAATTCTATTTAAAAAATTGTTTTAAATCCAGAAGTTCTAATTGAGAACAGAATATTAATATCAAATTTTGATATACGAACTCAAAAAAACATCTAATCACCTGCGACGATTCGAGATGTTAACAAATGTGCCTTGAGAATTTCATTCGGAGCAAGTGTTTGTTGATGGTTTTTCACGTCTTCGGATCCCCGAGGCTCGACCTCTTAGACGAATGTATTTGGCTTTTACCTTGATTGCGTAACGCTATTTGCTTTGAGATCGGTTTCGTATTAAATCTTAGTTTTAGACGTAAAGGTTGCTCAATGACGAGTCATTGTTTGGGAATAATCTCTCCTAAATGCAAAAAAATTGAGCAAAGAAAAATATTATGTTTTGAAGGAAACTTTTGAAGAGAGAATGACGATATAAATTTCTGCGTGTTTCAAAGTGTGTTGCTCTAGTTTTAATTTGAAAAACAAAAAAAAACAAGTAATTTTGATGTATTCTCAAGCATGACTCGTTTCACCTCTCTTATCGTGGATCCATTCATGTGGATAATATATTATTAGCGATCTCAATGGATCCTCGATAGAGTGTGGCCTAAGGTGATCAACTTCTCGAACAAAGGTAACATGTGAAAATTTCTGCTGCTAAATGCGACGAAGTTGAAATTTATTTCAATTCAACTTCAGTCGTAATAATTCTCGATTTATGTCAAATTTGTTTTTTTTTTCTTTTTATTTGTTTCTCAATAATTTTTTTAAACAGAAAGTTGTATGACACATATTACTTGTATTATTACAAAGAGAAATGTTTCAGTTCACGTAACATGTATTTGTAGAATTACTAAAATTATGAAAATTTACTTTATTTCGCGTCTTCAAAAAATGTGTCTTAGAGGAAAGTTCACATATTTAAAGTTCGTAAAGACGACGTGAAATCTGCGAGAAAGACTCGTACAGTCAGTCAAAAAACTCTCGTGGAAAAAAAATTTATATATAATTAAAAGAATATTAGTTGTAATATTGACGACTAATTTTTTTTGCAAACGAGACAAGTAACAAAAAATATCGAATCGACGTCTTTCGCGGAACGAAGAGTGGTTGATCATCTTATAAATGTTTTTTATCAAAAAAACCCGTCTGTGTGCATCCCGGCGGAAAACCCGGGCGTGAAAAAAAAAAAAGCCTCGGGATAAAACGCCCCGGGAGCGACAAGCGGGTGCGAATCTTCGGTTATTTCTTTTCACCATTATTTAGTGACTAACATCGTTTGAGCTTTGAATAGTACCTTGATCAAAACGGTGTATGTCATGTGTAAGATATACTTGGGTGTGGGAGTACCACTGGGGATCGGCGACGCATTGGACGATCTGTCTCCGTTGCGACGAGGCTTTCTGGATTATTTTCAAACGGAAAGCGAGTGTTGCAAACAATTCGTGCCGATCGTTGAAAAGTAAGCGGCAACATTTGCGTCGCGCGCCACCGACTATTTGAATCCGTTCTTTACGGAATATCGAGATCCCGGTTTTAGAGATCGGTTAGAGATCAGCACTACTTCGGAAGCGCATCGGAGAAGACAGTCCAAGCCGCGTTTCCGGTCTCTCAACGACGCGCTCTACGCGTGCTCGACGCGAACGGGGATTGCAATCTGTCAAAACAAAAGATAAAGAAAAAAAAAAGAAAAAGAAAAAGATCGCTCATCCTGTAAACCGCGTCGAGACGCGGACGGGACGCGCCGGCACTCGTCCTTTCTGGCGGTGTGGTACCACGTACCATGTTGGCTTAGATCGAACACACACACACGCCATTCGCGACCTGCAAAAAATTTGACAGATCTGCATTTCGCATCGCTTTGTGTTGCAGCGTATCCGGTGGCGCCGCATCCGCCGACCGGCTTTGTCCCCGCGCCGACGCAACCTCCGACTTATGGTGGTAAGCGACTGTCTTCCAATTTTCTTAAATCCGGAAAGCCTGTTAGTCGGTCTTTCGTATGTTCTATTATAAGAACTTAAATGTGATCGCATGTGCTTATACATTAACTGTCAAATGATAACGATAACGTTTTCTCATAGTTGCAGGCGCCGCACCCTATGGAGTATTTCCCAATCAACCTCAGTTATATGCGACGCAAGGCCCGCCACCGCCGACGTACGATCAGACTCTTACGCATCCTATGGTGAGTCGCTGTGCTTCATTTTTGTTTTGTCGAAAACATAGATAAAAGAAATGTTCGCTTGAACGTCGTTTGTCGATGAACCTCGATCTGTGTTTAGATGTATCAACCAATGTACGGACAGGGATATCCATTACAATATTATCCACCGGGATATCCTTTGCAATATTATCCGCCGTTAGCGACAACAGCGTATTATCCTGCAACCGCTATGCAGCCGGCTCCTGTTAGGCCCACAATTATGGTACCTGTAAGTACTGACGTATAACTTTTTTAAATAAATACCACAAGTAACAATCGTTTTGTTTTTAATAACGTATAATATAATCGCACAAAGAGCATTCTTTATTTTTTACTTGAATATTTTAACGCCAAACATTTGTGCGATGACGTGTATTTCGCAGAATGGTTTCGACGGTACTCGATTTGACGGCATCTCGCAACCGGTGCTGCCACCGCCGCCACCAGGAGTGGCCGCAAATGCGGCTCAGCTGGCTGCAATGGCCGGCCACAGCGTCGCCTTGTCGCAAAAGAAGGGTTCGTTCTTGGGAGGAGGAACGGAGGGCGGTTATACCTTTTGGTAAACCACCAAAACCACCTTTCCTAACACGTATACATTCAAAAAACACCACGTACACACTTATACAAAAACACCTACGTTAACTGTCGGAGGCGCTGTGTTGTCGAAACGACAAGATCATGTAGGCAAATTTCCGTTAGAGCTCTGCTTTTTTCACCGTTACTGGAAGCAGCTTTATGCATTAAAAAATAATATACCGTGTGTGCGCGGACCGATCACACATACATATTACATATACGTACCCTATATACACACACACACAAACAAACAAACAAACACACAACATTACATGGTACTAAGGCAGCAACCGTGAGAGTTCCCACGCGATTTACATACGGCGATATTTGCGATCAATAGAAGTGATCCAATGATCTCAAGGACATCGCTGCCGTCTTGGTGATCGATCTGCGCATCTCATGTACTGTTGAACTGCAGAGAATCGTCCCAGTCGAAGAAGATTCGGACGCGACGACGCTCATCACACACTCGCAAAAACTAATTCCTTGAGAGCTCATCATCGTTCTGTGAAGAAGCCGGGACAATGTGAGCAGTGCGAAAGTTTTGACGGATACTCCGTGAGATCCGAAAACTTACGTGCGAGACTGCCCCGAGAGATACAAGAATACCGAGAATCTGTGGCTAACGAGGACTCGAAGCGTTATCGAACCATGGATCCGAGGTAACAGGAATTCAAAACTTTCGCAATTAAATTTTCCTACAGGCTGTACGCAAATAATAATAATATTAATATTAATGTTAATAAAAAATAATGGATGATGATGATAATAGATCCCAAGGAATAATATGATGACGTATATATATATATATATATATATATATATATATATATATAATATATATATTTTTCGAGTTCCGAAAATTTGTAAGATCTAAAAGACTCATCAGAAGTTCGCGAATATTATTGCGAATTCTCCAACGCTTTTTTTTTTGGAAAAATTCAAGTTTTTATTAATCAACAAATTTCCGAATATATAGATTCAAGAACTCGAATTATACACTGTACAACGTCTGTTTTTGTTTTTGCTCATTGATACAGAGAGGTGATTTTTTGACACGTCGAATTCAAATCCGACATTGGAATATTGTTAGATCACATTAGAATTTCGAGATTATTGAGAAAAAATTGAGAGAAACTTCCGAGAGATCAGACTCGAGGTTGAACGCTTTAGAAATCTCTCTAAAAATCATCTTTCTCTTCAATAAGAAGTGAACCAAAAATGTTAAATTTGCGGTACAGTTTTATTTATGGATTCGAAACATTTTAATAATGAAAATATCAAGTTCAGTTAACTTGTTAAAACATATTATTGCGTCCAACATCCAATTAAAACCTTGTAACAAATTAATGCTGGGCATAAACGTGTTGAGCAAATAAAGCAGTGATCAATTTATGATCTCAACTTAATCAGAATTCAAGATATTTAGACTCTCACTCTCTCTTTAGTTTCAGTGGCTTTTATTACTTAAGATTCCAAAACTTTGGAAATTTTAAGTTTATTGACTAAATTATGTAAAATTTAGTTACCGAGATTGTATGTTTAACAAAATAATACTAAGGATCTATGGTCGTAAAAGTTTCTGAGGACTCTCATGTCTTCGGTATCTGTGTTTTCTGAGAACTCGCGTTTTCGGCAACCTGCAAATCCATGGGCTCCACGGTATCCCGAAGGCTCAAAAAACAAAAAAACAAAAAAAGAAAAAAAAAACAAAAAAAAAACCAGTCAAATAATGTGGGTTTCCCACAGAAACAAATTATTGCGAGAACGATTAATTTAAGCGCGAAGGACTAAACTTTCTTAGTTAGATCAACGAAAAGGTGGACTCTCTGATGCCACTAGACAAGGAACGACGATCGTCGTTGCGCTCATCGAACGAAGAAGAAAAGAATCAAGGATAAAGAAAGAATAGAAGTTCAATATTGATGATTGTAGAAGCTCACGAGACATAATTGCGTTGATATTTATATTTAAGTTATTGTTATTTAAACAATTTATTTGCAGACCCTCTTTATAGACAGAAATCATCAGTGCGGTGTTTCAACGATTAATTTTGTATGAAGTGAGTGAGAACACAAAAAAAAAAAAAAAAAAAAAAAAGGGAGAACGAGTGAAAGGGAGAGAGAAAATGTGAGAGTATACGAGAGAAAAAGCAAGAAAAAAAAAAAGAAAGCAAAAGTGAAATGAGTTTTATATCACGGAAAAAAAGTGTGCAATAAACTTAAGGATCTATTGTAACAATACAAAAAAAAAAAAAAAAAAAAAAAAAAACAAAAATAATTTAAAATGAGAAGTGTACTTGTTATTACATTTGAATGAGTG